GAAACTATATATATATATATATATATATATATATATATATATATATGTATACGTATATATATATACATCTACATATATGCATATATATGTACATATATACGTATACATACATGCAAATATATGTACATATATATATATATACATCTGTACATGTACATGTGGATATGTATATATATGTATGTGCATATATATATAGTTTTTCTTTATTTCACATGAAGAAATGAAGCAATCGCATTAGTGGTCGGTTCAATAGCCGATTTAGACATGGATGTGGTGAATGCATCGAGTCGAACTGCGCATTCGACTCCTCTTCGTGCTAGTCTTCAGGAAGCAAACACTCCCGAGCAACAAATTCTTCATTCTCACCGACCGTTGGATCAACATCGGGAATCTGGTGCGAAGTCGACGAGAGTCAGTGGTGGAGATCGATTGTGGGCGCCGACATCGATGGCTCAGGCCAATCCACGAGCACTACAGAGATTCAATCGGCAGCAGTCGAGCGGTAATCATGGATCAGCGGTTGGGACACCACTGGTGAGTGTGACGGAATCTACTTTCTTCATTTTAAGCGCTACAAGTTTATTTCACTGCGGTCGATCTATTAGAGCATTTTAGTAGAAAGTTGATTACTTTGTACGTTAGCTATAAGTTAAAGTAAAGTCCCTCGTATTTTTGCATTTTCCTATAGCATGGCTCAGGTTTTCTTCATTCTGTCAAGATGAGGTTGCTACTTTTTGCAAGCCAGAAGTAGTTTTTTCGTTTCGCTTTTTTTCTCTCGTGTAAAACAGCAAGGAGACTGAAGAAAAAAGCCGGATTTCGTCAAAAAACGTGAAATATTCGATCGGACTGCGTCATCATTGTGAGCTCTTGCGTTGTGTGATGTTCTTAACGAAACTATCTGTAGTTTTCATGAATTGTGCGCAGGTCCCCATCATTATTTTTTTTTTATATGACACTTCTTCACGGTTACCGTGAGGATCCCAGCGCTTCCCACATTCGATTCGTTTCCTCGCATCCATTGTCCATGAAGATGTTCCAACTTTTACGTGTGGCTTTGGTTGTTGCTTGAGGATTTTCATTTCATCTTGAATATCGTAAATGTTGGTGGGGCAATTCTCCCTGGAGTGCTGAGGTAACCGGGCTGGAGCGTTCCCAATTGTGTTCAGAGAGTGGCTTTTTCCCAGACAAGTCCGGTACCAATTTCCCGTCCCTGGGGGACGTGAGGTGTGGTTGGTCTTGGGCGGAATCGAACTGGCACCATGCCCGTGATGACGGGCATCACTACCACTGTGCCGTCCGTTCCCTCATTCTAATCTACTTAAATAAATATTTACTTTTTTTTTAGTTTTTGCAATCACGTGACGATTGTGCCGTTACAAGCCGTTGTTAGATTTCGTACTAATTTTCGATATTTGACGTTGAAGTTTAGGTTGAAGTGGAAGCAGTGGACACAGACCACGTTTTTGGTCCGATTTCGTGCTCTACAAGTGTTTCATCATCAAACGGCCTTCCTTGGAATGCAGCTAAATCGGGTCATGAAACAAAGGTTAAGGAAGGGTGCTCAGGCTGGATCTGTGATAGAACAGTGGGATGGAAAGTGCACCCACTTTTATTTTTCAGCGGCCCGTGGACCATCAAGTAGAGTACCCACCATCGAATTCCTCAAGAAAGACTAAAGCAACGGCAAAGGTTTTGCATTCTACCACACCAGCAAGAAAAGAGATTGTCAAGAGAGATTCTACCCCTCCACCTGTAGAAGACACCATTTTTAACGGGAAACTGTTAAGGTAGGTGGCCTTTCTCTTTCATTCTTCTTTTTTCTTTTGAACCGCGCGAAGCTCAAATTTTTATTTCTCGTTTTAATAGCACTTTGTTTAGGCATTATTTGCGACCGATGTGGGAGCAGATCAAGTGGACTAAGGAGGCTGTTCCCTTTCGTATGCCTGTTGATCCTAATTTACCAGGCTTTCGCGTAAGTTGCTGCAGACAAAGACGATAGTGTTGGCGGTACAATTAAAGTGGTAACTATCATGCAACATGAAGATCACTTAACCGAACTCTAATTTTAGCAGACTCTCTTTCAATGCTATATCTAAGTCTTCTGATGACTTGTTCACTTTCAGTCTTTAAGTTATCGAACAACGCCACTCGTTTATTTCCGGTTTAAGAACCGAACGTTAGTACTATTCGGCAATATGTTTCTTTTTTCAGAATTATAATCGTATAATAGAGCACCCGATGCATTTTTTGGCTCTAAAGTTGGGTAATGAGTTGTATAAAAATGCTTCTGAGTTCTGTGATGATATGTGGCTGATGGTTGACAACGCTTCGATTTACAACGCAAAGAAGAGCAAGGTGTATGAAGACTGTACGAAGGTAAATATTTCACCTTCCGGAGGTTCCCGAACTGTGAAATCATGTTGCGGAGTAGCCAATGCTTATGATGTAACTGATATTGAGTAAGGGAAATCTTATTACTGGGTGTAAGTCCTCGATAATGAACTTTTGGCAAGTTTGTTATTTCTACAACCGCATAATATGCTGTCATTTGATCGAGTTCTGCACTAGTACAAGGGGGCGAGTGACGCAGTCCGAAGGCGCCTGGGTTACACACATCGGTTCGATGCTAGCTCCCGTGGCTCATCAAGCCTTCCATCCCTCCATAGGAGCACTGGCGCGATATATCGATGGGTCACCGCGATTCTTTATAAAGGCCAGATAAGCATTCAGTCACCTCCTACGATGCTTAGTGAAGTCGAATGCATGGCGGATCCCCAAAGGGTTGATCAACTTCGAGAGCTTTACCCGTTATCCTACACTAGTACGGTTGAAGCATGAGTTTGCTTTAATCGAAACACCGAATATCGTGTTCTAAACGGTCAGTGCTGTGGGGAATTATAAAGAGTCTGTTTCGAATGGGTTTCAGCAACACTTTCTGTATTGCGTAAAATCTTTGCATTGAGTTATCTTATTGTTTACGGAGTAGTCATGTCACACACAAGGTTATCGATGCATTAAATGGTAAATTAAATGCTGAATTGTGCATACGACAGAAGTAGTGTGTCTAATCGTTTCAGGTACGAACACACTTCTCAGTATGATGAAACAGGGTCGAAGCGCTACACGGCCTGTCTGGGATGTTTCGAGGATTTGCCACCTGACGGCATTTCACTTTCTGAGAGCCCAAACAGCCAGTCAAATATGGCACCGAACGACAAATTCGTGCAGATGAAAAATAATGACCTTTTAACCTTTTCTCGACTTCTGATGGATAGGAGTCGTGGTTAACGGATACCGACCCTGAGCAAGGTGTGGTTTCCGTGTAACGAGCGGCACCGATGTCATTGCTCTACCCACCTCCTCACCAAATATTAATACGATATCGAGTCCTACTCGTAACATCACGGCTCTGAGGAAGGCGAGATCGCCGAAACTTCAGCCATCGACAAACAAAAACAACAGCAACAACAAGAACAATAATGACAATGAAGACCTATACCAACCTCGTATCAGTTGAAGAAGATCAGTTTATAATATCATATAAATGAATGTTGATACGATACTTCATAACCGAGAAAGAATTTTATGGTGTCATATGTGCAGGGGATTAAAGCCCACTGAGTGCAACCTCACGTTATGCTTTTCGGTTAATGAGATCTACGTCATGGCAAACTTGATTTTATTTTATTCGATTTCCTTATAGTATTCATTATATGCAGCATTGCTCTCGTATTCATTTATTTCCGCAAAATACGTAGCACATACTTCTATTTAGTTGCTCGCAGAGGTGCTGATAAAGTCTTCTAACGCTGTCTAAATATGGAGTAATATATAGGTCATCAGCGCTTTTCCCACACGTTAAGTGAAGACTTTATTGAGGACCCGCTAGTTGGAGTTAAGAAGATGAACAATGACGTCATCGAGCTGCGGAATATAGCACGAAATTAACACAGTTTATGAAACTGGAGGAAATCCTTTTCGGAAGCATGCGTTACTAGGGGAGGAGGGATGGGAGTCTCCATAAAACTTCACCGTCAAAATTAACCGTGGGAAATAGTCTGAAGACACCACAGCAAAGTCTGCAGAATTGGATGAAACCATGTAGTACATAGCTAATATCGAGTGGTGACTAACAGTCTCATTTATAGCACTATGTAACTATTGAAGGGCGTCGCTTTTGGTGGAGGATATTGTAATGGGTCTTATGTCATTCATAAGCATAAACGCGAGCTTGTTACGATATATGTGTTCAGCAAACGTTTGAGCGTCTTCATCTTTCTCGGAGCCGATGATTTGAGTTGATGACATGGAGCCATTCGTCCTCTCCAATTGAGAAGGTCAACATCAGTCAAAACTTTTGTTCGACTGATTTTACTCTCCTCTCAGCGCTCTTCACGCATTCGGATTGAGGATTGATTCATATTAACATCGCCGGAAAATACTGATGTTTATTCAACCCCTCACCTACGGTAACCACGCCAAAAAAGAAATAGTTTCCTGACGGAAGTCTAATTTTACCCAGAACTGCATTGTAGAAAGTCGTCTATATTTATCCACGTCCACCTGTGTTTGTGTGTTAAAGACACTAGACATGTCAACACAATCGCTCGCTTTTTCGAAATCTAACATACTACCTCGCTGGCGGAGAAGTGTTTAGCAATTGATGCGGATTGGATGAAGCCCGAACACTTGGACAGTCTAATAGTTTTTCACGAAGCATTTCATTGTTTCTTAACACGTTATCTGTTACAAGGGTCTCATGAGCTTGATACAAGCAGCTTTAGAACTATAGCGTTGTCGCTCAGCAAAAAGAAATTGCGAAAGGTACCCGAAGATTCCCAGTGAGCTATACAGTCGTTTCACAACAAGTATTTCAGTATTAAGATGAGGGTTTGACAAAGCGTTCTATCGAAATTATTGACCCCATTCCAACATATTTTGTAAAAAGTGCTAAAGAGTACCATCGAAGTGAATGTTTGTGGAACTAACTACTTGTTGGTACTAATATCCAACTTGTTGGTGATGCTTCTTACTAACATAAACATCATCAGGACAAAACGAATACAGGCTTGCCTCGATGTTCGGGAACATCGGTTTTCTGTTGAATCTAGACAAAAATGTCGACATTAAAAGCGGACTTATTTGTAATAAACCCACTCGCGCCCGAGTGAACAAATAACCCTAGAAGCTCTAGCTACATACACTTGATTAAGGCACTTAAAACGAATAATGACTTTGTTCCGATGCTAGGCCAGCGGTAGAGAGCAGCTTAAGGAGATAATGAAAGGATCGCAGTTCTACTGAAAAAGACAGCAACACACACCAGATACTTTTTAGACTTCGTCATTTTTCTCCTACAACATCCACGAAATGTGGGGTCACGTAAGCAAAACGATAGGAGCGATCGGAAATATCGTGCACTAACGCCGAGAGGATAGTGCTATGAGTATCTTGTTCCTTACATCTCTACTTTCGTTACTCTCCCTCCTTTATGCGGAGGACTTTTTTATAAAGTGATTCCATCTTGCATGTTAGTGAAAATTTTCATTGTAATCGTCCAGTACAAGCTGTCTTCAATGCAATGTATAGTAAGCGGTGTTCCCTCCACTGGATTCAACTAGATGAGACAACGAACAACGACATTGCGACAACGACCAGCTGTGGAAAGTCAACTCGAACCAATCTGGCTCTGAATAAGGTAAAACCGACGAAACATTAGCTGAATTAAAGATTTACACCAACGTGAGATCAGCTCAGTCATCTTGAGAATTAAGACATAATAGGCTATCAAAATAAGTAGAGTCAAAAATGAGCATAATTGTAGGTACCAAGCAAATAATAACAACAGTTTTCTAATAATTCTAAGAAATAAATAGTAGACTTTTTATGATAATGGAAGCGAAAATGTAATCTGTAGCTCTGTTCTCAATACCACACTACATTTCTTGATTGTTGTCAACCAGTAGCATTAACAAATAGAAAAGTCTTTCAGTTATATGAGGCAGCTAAAACACCCAATTAATTTCTCAAATTGGAGGAGCTGGTTAAGGGGATGAGTTTTGCCGCTCTACGAACCAGCGGTGGTGGGGGTGGTGGAATTCGTGGTTTCTTCTCGAAACTTCAAAAACCATCCGATCAATCCCTATAGGTCCATCTGTGGACTCGTATATTTGGGGCACAGGAACTGCAAGAACTGAACTTGAAGAGGCAATTCGGTTCGAATACCAGCAACTGAGAGCCCAAAAAAGGAACCAAAAATCATACCTGAACAATTGCTGTAGAGGCAGAAATATCACATCAATGCAACGAGAATGCAACAAATTTGCGATCCGTGCTTGAGCAAAAAGTACAGTCGGCGGCCAGTGCTAGAGTGGAGTCGTTCCTGCCTCTCAGCGATCTGAACAACTTGGAGCGGTTTGAAAGAGAGTAGTCCTACCAGCCAATGGTGTGAGTATGTGAGCAAAACTGGCAGTTTGCTTAGAACCAGTAAATTTTGATGATCAAACAATCACTTTGAAACATTATAACAAAACTGCTGGTTCCAAACAACTTGCACGCGATGCGGTGCACAAAGACGACTTCTTGGAAAAATTGGCAAAGAAGGAAATTATAGAAGTGGTTGGGCGTTTGTATGAAATGTGCGCATGAGCAGGACAGTGGGTCCGACAGACCTGATATCGGTGAACAGTAGTAGAATAATCACAATTCTTCTAATGAATTGACTTTAAAACTACAGTTCCTGATTGGTCGGCAAAAGTGGAATCCCTAGAACAAGAACGACCAAGTTGGCACGAAG